GCTTGATCGGATTTCAAGACTTTTGGAGAACGACGAGCGACCTTTTAGATTTAGTGGACTGCGCAAGCAGTATCCAAGACCTCTGCTAGTCCGGCGTGCAAACGTCTATCACCTGCAGCGTTTGAGACACAACGCCAACCCGCGACCAAAAACAGATCTCGACATGACTCTGTTACTAGATCTTGCCGAATCTAGCATCTCCCTCTACACTGAGATTCGACGTACTGCGCAGACCGCCAATGAATCAGCCGTTAAGTGCGTGCTTGGCGCTAGGCCGCTTGTCATTCCATCCTTACTAGACGCTTTTGTCAAGGCTGTCGCTGAGAGTGATTACCCTCGCATCAAGGGTGCCATGTTCGCTCTTCTGTTTGGCAGTTTGGCAAAGACAATTAGTCGAGACTGGCGATTTACTCCCAAATTGATCAAGGCCTTCATCGAAGTTACTGGTGCCGACAAGCCTTCGGTGCAAAAGCTTGCCACCAATGCCACTTTCCAAATCATGGACATGGGTAAAGCAATGGAACGCATGGTTATTCTGCCCAAAGAGGTAGTGGAGTCTATTGCGTATGCCATTGACTCTAGTGAGGGTGACAGTGTACATACCAAAGTCACCAAGCGGCGAGACTACATCAAGAAGAAGCGAGCTCGTATCGAAGACAAGAAATCTGAGCTATCCAAGGAGCTTGTGGAGATTGCTAACACTGAGCATTGGAAGAAGGTTAGCAGGACTGCGGCCATTATCGTCAATCTAGGCATGCGTTACGACACTGTTGCATCCGACGAGATGATCGACCTTGTCACCAAGGGATCCATTGACCAACATCCTAGTCTCCGGGGTTTGTATGCTGGAGCCCTCATCGGCCTCTACTCAGTCATCCAGACACGTGCCATCACGGGTCACGACTATGAGAAATATCTGTTGAACGAAGAAGATCTGCCAGACAAGATTTCGGTGGAGACAAAGCCAGAAGATCCTAACTGGACGGCAGAGTACTTGGCGGCATTTGCTCAGCCGGAAGCCAAGTATTACATCGACTTCGATTATCCTGGATGGCTGGTGTGGACCAAGAGTATGACTGCGTTCAAGCCAAATGCTCCGCAGCTGTCATATGACGAGGTTGAAAATGGGGTTCGCCAGAAGATCGCGAAGCATCTTACGCGATCTTGGTTCTCCAACTATTTCGCTTTCATGAAGCAGGAGCCACGCGACAACAGCGCTGATCGTTTCCGCATGTCAAGTGCAATGGTGTTAACCCATTCGTTCGATCTTGTGTTCTGTGGCCTGACAGAAGCTACATTTGAAGACATCAAGGATCTGACCCAGTCAGTATATGCCGATGGCAGTGATAAGCATCAACACCGCGCGACTGCTGAGATCATGGCTGCATTGCTTTCATGTGCACCAGATCTCAAAGCCGATCAACGGGAAGCGGTGTGGGAATATGTCTTTCCTATTGTCCGCGGCATCTTCCAGGACGGTCTGACGCCAGAAAATTCCGGCTACTGGACCACCTTCCTGCATGTCGTGTTGCAATCCAAAGATCCTCGACGTGGATGGCCGCTTGTCGACTGGTTGGCCAGCTTCCGTCTCGATATGGATTCCAATGCTGCTTTCAAAGAGAGCTCAAAGATCCATCTACTTACTCAGTGCATCTGTGATGCTGGTTGGCATTTCCGGTTGGAGAAGCCAATTTTGGAAGACTTCATGAAGCATCTCGACCATCCGTACAAGGGCGTGCGTGAGGCTATGGGCCAGACTATCGCAAGCATCTTCAGGACGCGTTACCACGAATCATATAAAGATGTCGGTACGCTTATGAAAGCACAGAAAGAGGCTTCATCAATCGGAGTCCGACCTTATCAACCTACGGAGGAGTTCAAAAAGACCATCGTCGATGTCTTTGACCGACTTGAAGTATGGCGCCAGGAGCGTCCTGCAGGGCAGCAAACACCTTCTTCCTACACGTCTGGTGGCAAAACAGTCTTGCTCTGGCTCGACACCACTCTTTCTTCGTATGAGTGCACATCACTCGTCAGCTTCTTCCCGGATGTGTTCATGGAGCAACTACTCCATATGATGGACATTAAAGAGGATCCCGAATTGCAATCTCTCGCCTACCACGTTTTCCGGCATCTGCCAAACATCCCCCATCGTGAGGGCGAGGATTCGGAATTCATTGCTGCGCTAATTCGGATTGGACGCAATGCAACCAGCTGGCATCAGCGTCTCAGGATCTTGATCAATATCCAGGTTATATACTTCCGTCGGTTGTTCTTGATGAGCGAAGAGCAGCAGCAGAGCATGTTCGACTGCGTCTCTGCTATGCTGTCAGACTCTCAGCTAGAGGTGCGTATGGGCGCAGCTACTACCTTGTCTGGTATGATCCGCTGCTCGCCGATTGCATTCCGTGATCGTCAAGTCTCAACGCTTAACGAGCGGTTCACCAAGCAGCTTGCCAAGAATCCACTACCAAAGAAGCGCATTCCAGGCACGCCGACGACTGAGCAAGGCAAGCTTGTACTCATTCGCCATGCTGCTGTATTGGGCCTAGGTGCGCTCATTCAAGCATTCCCTTACCAAAGCCCTCCGCCAACCTGGTTACCGGAAGTGTTGGCTACACTTGCAAGAAAGGCAGCAGCTGATCCTGGTATGGTGGGCAAGAGTGTCAAGACTATTCTTGCAGACTTCAAAAAGACCAGGCAAGATACCTGGCATGTGGATGTTAAGGTATGTATCTTAATCCCCAGTAGACCCATGAGTGTATCTCGATACGAAGCAGATGCTAACAGTAAAAATAGGCGTTCGAGCAAGAGCAGTTGGAGGATCTGGAGGGTGTACTGTGGAAGAGTTATTTTGCTTAGATGTAAAACAGGCATTCGAGAACCAGGATGGGCGGCATTCACGGGAATTTGGGGAGAGGGGAGAGTCATGTACTATAGCCAATAACAGAGAGGAGCATAGCTATGAATGATATGACAGGGTCATGAGTGCATGGCGCTATGTGGAGAATATGCTATTCTCCATAGTTCCGTGCTTATACATCAAAACGATACACTTATGACTGTACCTGCTGCTTACTCATGCGTCACGGACGAAGAGACCAATTCTTTAGCATTCCGCCCTTAAGAGTTGCAGCTACCCCTCTTGAACCCCACTTGGGGAGGTTTCGGCCGCATGTACCCATTGACATCATACTTCTAACACCCCTCTTGTCAAACGCACCCAAACTACCATAGCTTCAGACTTTTTTTTCTTCTTCTTTTGCAGTTTTCAAACGATGTCGCTCAAAGTACTGTCTGAATCCGACGTCCGCACACTTCTTTTGCAATTGACTAAGCAGAACATACTGGACTTGCAGCAAAGCCTGGCAGATGCACTGCATCACTATTCAACAAGTACCGAAGAAGAAAGTGACAATGGGTGCTGCGAGAGTTACCAGTCTGCCGGGACGACCCTGAGAAGCAAGGAGGGAGGAATAATGACGGTTACGCCGGCTAGTAGGTATGTTTGGTATTCCTTTTGTTCTTTTTGAGTTTACGCATGGAAATGGTGTACCTGTTGCTGATACATACGATATAGCAACGATGGCCTTGGAGTCAAGATTACAACACATCTGAGCGATAGTATCAAAGCCTCAAGATTGTCTGACACTGAGTCGATAACTTCTTCCCTGGGTTCACTCACAATATCTCAGAATTCTACTGCATCAACCAAGAGTTTGGACACCACGACATCGCCTCGTCACTTGCTGTCGCTTGCATCCTCTTCTACGCAACATGGCAGTCTTACTCTATTCGACAACTCTGGCAAGCTGCGCGCTCTTCTCAACACTTCTGAAGTGACGGCTTTTCGCACTGCACTCGCAAGTACCATGCTCTTTAAGAAACGGCGCAACGTACATGACGTGGTTGTCTTTGGAGCCGGGCGACAAGCTTACTGGCATATTCGCCTCGCCCTCTTACTCCGAGGCGAAGACATCCATCATCTAAACATCATCAACCGCGATTTCGAGCGCGTGCATCAACTACTTGAGACGCTGTATAATCCACACGAAGCGCCCAAAGCATTCAATCCAGATCCGCAGCATATTCCCGCGTACAGACAGACAGCTCCATCGCAGACTGAAGCCCTTCACAGGCCAAAGATACAAATCCTGACCCCTTCGCATGGCGAGTACACTCGCTACCTACACGATACACTTCGCTCCAGCAGCTGCATTTTCCTCTGCACGCCATCCGTAACACCGCTCTTCCCAGCAGCCATCTTGACTAACCCCGAAGGCCGGAAAAAAGGCCGTTACATAGCAGCCATTGGCTCCGTTTCCCCCTCAATGATAGAACTGCACCCAGACGTTGTGCGGCAGAATGTCGCACCTGAGCATGGCCATCGACATTTTCACAAGCACGCCCCGCAGGGCGGCGCAATTGTGGTAGACAGCGTGGACAGGTGTCTGAAAGAAGCCGGTGAAGTCGTGCAAGCTGGTCTGGGCCCTGAGCAAGTTGTTGAAATCGGAGAGCTGGTCATGTTGAAGCGGGATGCAGAGAGGAGGCGTATGGAGTGTATGGCCACTAAGAAGATGGAGGATGAGGGCCTTGACGTGGGTGGTGTCGAGCTGGGCGAGTGCGAGGGGGCTAAGAAGAAGAGACGGAGTGGGAGTGGAAAAGAGAAAGACAAACACCACGAGAGCGAGGACAAGGCACACAAAAGCCTGATAGAGTGGTTAGTCAAGGGTAACGTAATATACAAAAGCGTAGGACTGGGCTTGATGGATGTCGTGGTCGGCGGCGAGCTGGTCAATTTGGCGAATGCACGAAACATCGGTACCAGGATTGACAACTTTTAGAATGAGTTGCCTCGACCGTACCCAGGCATAGGACTATCCACAGAACACTCTTGTGAGTGCAGCTAACTCCAACGGAAGCGGCAAGCCCGACAAATGTATCAGTACCTGATATGCAAGAATTTAGCCGACAACATCACATCACATGATTAGTGTAGAATTGGCGTGCGTTATCAAATCGATTCCAGTCAATGTAGTCGTTAGCGACTTCTTTTAACCCTCCTAAACTCCGTTGGTATTGTGAACCGCATACATGCAGAGATAAGAGACACGCCATAAAGTCATCATGAACCCTTCCAAACACCTCAAGACACATTTAGATCTTGATGGCGTTCTCAACAGCCTTCCTGCGCTTCTCCATGCGAGCGTTGGCCTTGGCACCCATGATACCACCACCCCAGTGACGGGAGGCCTCCTTGTGGTGTGACTCGAGGTAACCGTCGTTGACAGCGGTAACGAGCTTCTGGAGCTCGTTCTTGTCCTCGGAGCGGACCTCGGTCAGGGCCAGGACGGCGGCAGTCTTCTGGTGAACAACCGTACCGAGACGGGCCTTGCCCTTGACGATGACGTATGGGACACCCATCTTGCGGCAGAGAGCTGGCAGGAAGATGACGAGCTCAATGGGGTCAACATCGTTGGCGATGAGGACAAGGGAAGCCTTCTTGTTCTCAATGAGGCCGACAACGTGGTTCAGACCGTACTTGGCGACGTAGGGCTTCTTGGAAACATCCTCCTTCTTCTTGCCCTCGGCAACGGCGGTAGCCTCCTTGGTGAGCCTCTCCTTCTTCTCGGCCTTGGTCTCGGGGCGGTACTTGTTGAGGAGCTTGAAGGATTGGGTGGCGCTGAATGTGGGGGTTAGTTATCAAAGACGAAAAATGACAGTGGGTAACATACAGGTTACGGTCGGCAACGTGCTGGAACTGAGCGATGCTGGATCAAAGTCAGACTTGGCCATTGCACAACGTTTTTTGTGGGAGACGAACGAAGGAGGAACCTTCAGGCGCATATTGAGGATCTTCTTCTGGCGCTGAAGGCGGACGTAGGCTGGCCAGCGGACCATGCGGCCGAGGTTGCGCTGGGGCTGGATATCCTGGCCGATGCCATAGTTGCGGGGCCTCTTCTCGATGAGAGGGTTCTATCTTGGTTAGCTGAAAAGTCTGATTGAGGACTAAACGTGCGCAATTGAATTGGGTTTGGTGGTTGGAAGGTAGAGAGGACGAATAGAAAAGCTTGGGCTCAGCAGCACAGGCAGTATTTGATACGGATGGAGAGAGGGGGAACTCACCTTCTGCTTCTTCGCCGCAGCCGACTTGGAGCTGGCCTGGGGGAAAGCCGCAGGCTTCTTACCGCTTCCTTTTGGTGGCATTTTCTGTCATAGAGAACAAACCATTAGCGAATGTTCACGCATTTTCGGTTTGAATCTCGTAAGAGCGAGAAGGCCTTGCGGCCGTTCTACAACTCTAGCCATCCTCACGCCTCGTACTCATGCATATGCAAAGAGATGCGGCGGAAATGCTAACGAGCATTCATTGTGTGGAAGTGCGCTTACGTTGTGTGTTGGCGGCGGTCGACGAAATTGACGTTGGCGAAATTGGGCTTGACGAAGAAATCGAGAGCGGGCGCAGAAGTCGCTCCTACCGAAATCCACGCGAAGCGAGTGGGCGCGGAGGTGGAACAACGTTTGGCCGACACTAACGCTCTGCCCAATCGGAGTGCGGCAAGTTCCTCTACCACAACACCCCGAATCGCAACATGAAGAGCGTATCAGAGTCTCCTGGACAACGCTCAACTAGTCGCCTAGTTTCGTTGTTTTGTCTGTGGAAGTCAATTCTCCTCACACTTGCAGCCTTCTGTCCAGGCCCTGGATACGACACATCTGGGCTCATACTGCTGGATACAAGCGTGCAGCGTCACGACCATTTCAATGTCTCTACACGCTTTGAGCGATTTGTACTCAATCTGCTTCGATGGGACGCTTTGTACTTTGTAAAGTCAGCCGATCGTGGACTGATTCATGAACAAGCATGGGCTTTCAGCGGGGTGTACTCGCGTCTCCTAGGCATAACGGGTCGATGTGAGTAAGAAGCGTCTACTGTTTCCGGACGAGTGCTGATTGCCAGCAGCCGTGAGTGGAAGCGTAGCGCCTCCGCTTCACTACTACGTGCTGGCTGGTATCATTGTTTCCAACGCTTGCCACCTCATTTCTGTGCTAGTGTTGCATCGTCTCCTGACTCTGATTCTGGAACCGCAACGACAAAAAACGATTCCCTTTGTGGCAGCCATTCTGCATGTTTTAACACCTGCATCTCTATTCATGTGTGCGCCATATGCAGAGGCGGTTTTCTCTCTCCTAAATTTTACGGGCATGCTTCTATACGCCCAATCCAGGGCCATAGCTAGAAGCACAACTTTTTCGATTCAAGAAGACATCCAAAAGGTTGGTGCTGGTCTCTTTTTCGCTGCCGCGACCCTTATGAGGAGCAATGGCTTGCTCAGTGGCACTATACTATTATACGATGTCGTGAGATATCTTTTTGCCCTCACGTCTACCCAGCGAAGCATTCATGACGTAAGGAGGATCCTTGTCACTTGTATTTCGGGTGGCTTGATAGCCATAGCCTTTATCGGGCCGCAGTACCTTGCGTATGCAGAGTTCTGCAATGGAGAGAGTGGCGCTGGAATCCGACCATGGTGCGAGAAACGCCTCCCAAGCATCTACTCGTGGGTACAAAGCCATTACTGGTAAGTGGCCTCCATGAGATGCTTACTGTTCTAACCCCTCTTCAGGAATGTGGGACTTTTCCGGTACTGGACTGTATCGAATTTGCCCCTGTTTACGCTAGCAGCACCGACTCTATGGCTTCTGTTTACCTCCAGTGTTACCCTTCTCCGCAGCTGCGGTGGGGACCTGTTGTGTACAACCCCTGTCTCTGGGATCAGGGTTACGCAGGATGCAGGTTCTGCCATATGCAAGCTACCTGAATTGGCACTCCCACAATTATTCCTGGCTATCTCGGCTGTCACAACTTTTCACGTTCAGATTGTCAATCGCATTGCCTCGGGCTATCCTGTTTGGTACCTGATGGTTGCGACATGGGTGGTAGACTTGCAGGTGACATCTTCCATGAAGAACGGTTCGTCGAGGGCGCAATGGTTCGTCCGCGGTATGATTGTTTACTCACTAGTTCAGGGGGTACTTTATGCGAATTTTCTCCCGCCAGCATAGGTTTTTAGATTAATGGCCTTGTTTAGTAAAACACAGGATCTATCGAACTCAATCACAGTATTTTTTTGATAAATTAATGAATCATAATGCAGCCATATGCAGCTTTGAAAGTTCTGTTGGTTGATCAAAATGGTCTTGGGTTAAGGTTTCACCCAGCAAGATGAGCAAGATCAACATGCTGGGTCATTGAGCATGCAGTCCAGGTGTGACGGGATTAATTTATTGTCCCTGTCCTCCATACCGGATGTTGATAGATGAGTACCAGGACTCGATGAACGAAGATGTAACATGGCTTCGTAAACACGGTCGCGCAGACATTGGTGGCATTCAAAGCGTGTAATCTGACTGTTGAGCGGTCAACTCCCCGCGTTTGGTGTGACATACTATGCTGCTATCTAGTACGCCCATTCCAAGCCATATTTCTAGTACCGTCAAGACTCTGAACTAATGTGACTTGGGCTACCAAAGGAGTGTTAGCTGGTATGTGGAATCCCAGTGCTATGGTTCTGGGTTTCCCACCAGGCCCAGTGCTGCTATGTATCTTTGCAAAGGCAGGTGGAGACGGCACCCTACAGCAAACGTCTCGTATCACAGCTCGAAGCGAACAGTTGTCAGCAACACGACCTTGATGCTAAGTATTGCACGAGCCTGGCTTCTGTGTAACAACTCATGCACATCATCTTACTCTAGGATTTGTTAAGACATGAGTTCCCCTATCAGTGGCTGTGACGTGCCATGGATGCCGCATTTAGCAGTGGCATCAGCTTGTCTCTGTTTACTGTAGAATGTACGCCTGGCAATATACTTAGTACCTGCATAATCTGTAGGAGCCAAGTGCCTGGTGACGCCTTAGTTGACAGCCTAATCTCTAACTAAGCAAGAATACTACGTGGCGCCGTGGCTATAGGCTAGTCGGCTTGCAGCGCCGTTGCCTATGACCAGCGCCCGACCGCCACTGGCGACACTGGAGCAGTACACTAATGCCTGAGTTCGACATGTGTCGCTCGAGGAGAAGACATCTCGGCTGAGACTTGCAAGAAGGCGTTACTGGCACCGGACCAGCGCCAGAGAGTGGAGCAAGATTGGTATGTTTGGACTGATGAGGGTAAGATTTCAATAGTAGTATTTCAGGTACGAGTCCTAAAGTACAAGGGGACAAATGTATAAATTCTGCTCTACTGCTTGACAATCGTGGTTGGGCACGCAGCATTGACTGTGAGATATCTACAATCGCAATTGCCACCAGTGCCAAGATGAAGTTGTCTACCTTTGCTACCCTCTTTGCTCTTTCGACGGCTTTAGCAGCCGTGCTGGAACCCAGACAACAGTGCTCCTCGTCGGACGCTTGTTACAGTGCCGTCTTTGGCGATGGCAGCTTCTCACGCGTCGTTCAGGCAGTGGAGGACTGTGAAGACTTCCTTACTACCAGCGTGATTTGGCACCCCATGTACGTGAACGTACCTCTTGGAGATGTCTACTTGGAGCTCAGACTGATCATGTTTACTGCAGTATCACTCTTACGGTTCTCAGTCAGACCGTCTCAACGGCGACTTCACCATGCCCTCCCACTGTGCCCATGACACCGAGTGAGGCACTGCCCCAGTCGACAGTGTCGCAGGGCAAACGACTTGTGATGCGCCAGGCTCTCCCTACAGATTTCTCCACCACAACCGTGTTTGGGCCGCGGCCTTCGTATGTCACACAGGCTTGTGCCTCTGGGGCCTACTCATCTGCCTGCTTGTGTGCAAATATTACTACCGCTTTGGTATCGTATCTTGGAACAGTAAGTAAGCTTGTAGATGTGGAGGGAGACTGGAAAGAAAGAGAGAGTGTGTGTAATGCTAAATCATTGCTAGGTTGTGACGAATACGGCCACGACTACGATTACTTCTTTTGTGACCACTAGGGCGTCTTGCTCGGGTGTCTCTGTGTCGTCTACATCGTCTACTTTGGCTTCGTCATCTTTGACGTTGTCTAGTAGCAGCGCGGTGTCGAGTGTGGCTTCTTCTAGCAGCACAAGCAGCTCATTATCTAGTTTGGCTTCGTCTTCTTTGTCACAATCTAGTAGCAGCGCCAGCAGCGCATTATCGAGTTCAACGATGTCCTCAACTGGGTCAAGCAGTGCATCTGTTAGTAGCACACTCAGCACCTTGTCTAGTTCAGACACGCCTTCGACTGAAAGCAGTAGCTCGTTGGTTAGCACATCAGCTAGCGCGACAAGCAACTTTAGTAGCTCGAGTGTTACGATAACGGGATCAAGCTCATCGCCTACAAGTCTGAGCAGTCTATCTAGCACTGGAAGCGAAGTTGGTCCGTCAACTACGGCGAGTAGCTCAGTGAGTAGCTCAGCAAGCAGCTTGAATGGCACGTCGTCAGGTACAAGTGTGACAGCTACTAGCAGTGCATCAGTATCAACGGATAGCTTGTCTAGTAGCTTGAGTGGGTCGTCTTCAGCCACGAGTGTGGTGTCCAGCACTGGCTCATCAGCATCTCCCAGCACTTCGTCCAGCAGTTCGAATGGGACAAGCGTGGCTCCGACCAGCAGCCCCTCGGCAACGTCGAGCAGCTCATCGGTTGTCCCGAGTAGTGTATCTAGCACTTCGAGCAGTCCATCCGCTACTTCTGAGAGCTCTTTGGTGTCTTCGAGTAGCCCGTCTTCATCGTCGGTTGTAGCTACAAGTTCATCGGACAATATTACGTCATCAGCAACTGCTTCTATCAGCAGCAGTGCGACTTCCTCTCAACTATCAAGCAGTAGTTCATTTTTGGATTCGGCTAGTAGTACCTCAGGCTCGTCGACGGTTAGTAGTGCGTCAGTTAGTTTGAGTATCAGCAGCAGTGTGCCATCGTCGTCTCTTGCCTCATCCGTATCCAGTACGTCAGCGGCATCTTCAACGACAGTCACGTCAACAAGCGCGTCGACAAGCAGCGCAACGCCTAGCGGGCAACCGTGTGAGGGGCTTGGAGTGGAGCGGTGCGAGGGTATGTGCCGCGACACGACGTCGGATGCACTGAACTGCGGGCGGTGCGGCAATGCGTGCACAAGTGGGCGGCAATGCATCAACGGCGTATGTGCATCTCGGCCCTGCGACTCGACCTGCAACTTTGACCGACTGTGCGGGCCAGGCAGCGGGGGGTCGACACGGTGCATTTGCGCGACGACGATTGAGGGCAACGGAGTATGTTTTGACAAGAACCGGTACAGCTGCGGCGATGTCAACCTTGTCAGGTGCCAGAGAAGCGTGTTCGGGCCAGAGGGGTGCCCGATTGGGACGGTGTGTGTAAGGGACGTGTGCAATTGTGGCGCTGTGCCGGCAGCAGGCATTTGTGTGTCTACAAGTGGATGTGGAGATTCGGGGACGAATGTCTTGGGCAGTCTGGTCAGGATTGGGGAGATGGAGAGGCGCAGGAGGGCGGCGAGGGGCATGGGAGGGTGAGGCATGGAGGAGGAGGACGAAGAGGGGAGATGGCGAGTGTGTGGTAGTGGTGAGTGTTGGTGGGGGTACACGGGGTTTGTTAGTTGCTTGTTGCATGCATAGCATAGTTACAGACATAAATGGAAGATGAATATAAGTAATATGTGCACACAGATATATAGACAACCGATGCAGGCAGGCATCAGGCTGCACAAGCGGGATCGCGTGCCGACTAGCGACAAAGAAGGCATTTTGTTGTTGTTTTTATTATCATTTGTTGTCGACGGGAATCGAAGTGAGTGGCCGAGGCATGAATTTGCACGTCGATAAGAGTTAGTGGAATGACGGTGGCATGCATGGGCGTTTGCTCCACGGGCGGCCAGGGCGGCCAGGACATGCTCTCCGCGTTAGCGTGGCGTTGCTGGGACGATTGCCCGCAATGTTTATCCACCAACTCGGCAGGGCATAGCCGGCCCATGCAGCCAGTGCGACCACAACCACATCCACACCCGCCAACACCACCACCACCACCATCATTTGTCGGCCATGTCTGCCTTTCTGCTGCCCTAGACCTGTTCACCCCGTTTCAAGTCCCCCCTCCCCTTCCCCTCCTTTTCTTGCCTTCTTCTTCTTCGTCTTCTTCTTGCCTGGAGCCTGACCTCAAGGCCGCGCCGGACATGGCTGCTGCTACCACCACTTCCGCCGCGGGTGCTGCTGCCGCACAATCACCAGCACCAACAACAACGGGCCATCGCCGTAATCGCTCCGCGGTCCTGAGATCCTTTATATCATCCAGGGGCCACAGGCGCTCGCCCACAGAAGGCTCTGCCATCCCATACACACCAGTGTCCGCTTCGCCGCCCTTCCTGCCCGCCCCCAGCCTCCAGCCACCACTGCTCCCGCCAGACCACCCTCACAGCGCCAACCTGTCATCACCCCGCAAGTCCAACGACGCCCGCTCCACAGGCACCAAGAAGAGCCTGCACAAAAAGTCGCTCAGCTCTGTGTCGCTGCGCTCACTGGCAAAGCGCGCCGACGACAAGCCCAAGGAAAAGAAGTCGTCCGACTTGAGGCGGTCGCAGGACGAGCCAGAAAAATCCCCCCGCCCCAAGTCGTCCACCAACCTAGCCGCCATGTTTAGCAAGGCCAAATCCCGAGACCGCTCCCCCACTAAGGAATCGAGAGACAAAGAAAACACTGAGCCGTCCCGCGCCGCATACGCGCCGCCGCCCCCTCCTACTCCCATCTGGGCAGAGTTCAGCTCTCAGTCTGCCATGCCCACTGCCGCCAATGCCCCTCTGGACAACCGCCCCCGCACCAGCATCGAGGGAGGCCTTGGCCGATTCCCCCCAGCCGACTACTCGCCCTCCAAGCAGCGCAACTTCTTCGAGTACGGCCAGCCTGCGGTGCGACCCCCCGCCACCAAACAGCGGCCCAAGTCCATGTTTGCCGCCAGCTCGTCTACCACCTCTCTGCTCCTCGACACCTTCTCCCGCAAGAGGAGCAACGAGCGCATGCCCCTGTCCGATACACAGGGCAATGAAGGCCGCTTCAGAGACCCGTCTCCCAGCAAAAGCAAGTCCACGAGGCCAGCACTTGGTAGAGCTAGTACCGACAGCGGCAGCAAGGACTTCAGTGTCAAGCCCATGGCACCGCCCCCGCCCCCAGCCTCACCAAAGAAACAAAACAGAGTCATGGCCGCCGTCGCTGCCTTCAACGGCAAGGCTAAGCAGGCCGACGGTCCCCCAACCCCCACCGTCAAGCACGACCCCAAGGTTGTCGATGCCGAATTTGAAGAGGTTCTCGTAAGTCTTGTTGCTTCCTCGACCTGCTCGCGTGCTCACCCCTGTAGGAATCGCGAAATATCCCTACCCACCAACGTGCGCAGATGAGAACATTGAAACTCGAAGTCAAGGCCGACTTTGTGCGCATGCACAAGCTCGACACTCCTCAAACGTCGCGCAATTCGTCTGGCACCGTTTCCGCTGGCGAGACCACCAAGCCGGCAGCACAAAAGACGTCCAAGTCGCGGCACGGATCTCCTGTGGATGACGTTGACTCTGACGCACAAGCAGACCCGTCTGGCTATTCGACCAAGCGCGAGCGTCCAAGGAGCAGGACATTTACCTTCAACAGAAATGATTCACCGACCAAGAAGCAGAAAGGCGACTTGGGTGAGCGCAAGACGTCTGCCAAGACTGCTACCATCCCAAAGTCTCCCTCTATGCGGTCCTTGAGGTCTAATCATTCAGAACGTTCCGTGTCCAACGGTGCCAAGTCCGTCAAAGCTGACGAGTTTATTGCTTACTTGAAAAAGACGCCAAAACCCCAAAATGTCGAGGTTGGCAAACTGCACAAACTTCGCCTGCTCATTCGCAACGAGACAGTTGACTGGGTTGACAACTTCATCCAGGACGGTGGTATGACTGAGCTCGTGGGCCTCCTCCATCGCATCATGGAGATTGAATGGCGCGAGGATCACGAAGATACCTTGCTCCACGAACTGCTTCGCTGCCTCAAAGGACTTTGCACCACTGCGACGGCCCTAAAGCAACTCAGAGAAATCTCCTCCACACTCTACCCAGCTCTGCTTGCCATGCTTTTTGATGAGGAGCACAAAGGCCCGAGTGAGTTTACTACGCGTGAGCTCATCATCGAGATCATTTTTGCACATCTCTCCATGGCTCCAGAGGCCGAACTGGGAACTCGTGCTGCCGAACTGATGAAGTACCTCAAGGATCCTGTAAAGGAGAAGGAGACATCGACAGTCCCCTTCATTCTTCAAATGCATCAACCGCGTCCATACCAAGTTTGGTGCAAAGAGCTTTCCAATGTCACCAAAGAGGTTTTCTGGATATTCATTCACCATTTGAACGTGGTTCCAGTCCCACCAAGACCAACAGAGGGCAGATCTTATGCCAAGACCCACTTCCCAGGCCAGCGAGCTATTGTGCCAGCAGCGCCCTATGTCGGTGGTGTAGAATGGGACGCTACCAATTACCTCGCGACTCACATTGACCTCCTTAACGGTATCATCGCCTCCATACCCACCCGCTCTGCTCGCAACCAATTCCGCCAGGAGCTCAAGGTCTCTGGCTTCGAAAAGGTCATGGGCCACCTCCGCGCTTGCAACCCCAAGTACTATGGCGCAGTCCATGACAGCGTCAAAGTATGGATCGGGGCTGCCCTCGAGGATGACTGGGACGTCAAGACTGTGCGCATGGGTGCCAGCGAAAGCAAGACCAGTGTTAGTCCTCTCAAACAGAGTCCCAAGAAGAAGGTTGAGGCCCCACCTCAACTCCAGGCACCCCCCAAAATGGACATTGGCCTTGGTCTCGGACTAGGTTTTGATAGGGAAATTTCCATTGGTCACTCGAAGAAGGTCGTTGACGACGACTGGATCTGATGTGTTTGATTAGTACTTGACGTTGAAAACGTTTGTATTCGATTGTGCTGACATCGCGCAATCACTTCCTGGCCATGTTCGGTCTTGGATAAAACGATCGGCATATCTTGTCCAAGTTGGTGGTACAGCAACAGTTACGACACCTTTGAGCCCAACGGCGTCAGAATCATAACCAGCCAAGGCACAACAAAACATTATGGGCGCACATTTATTACGGAATCTTTGTTGGTTTCTCTTTTCCTATGGACTTTGCATCGGCGCCATGGAGCTTTCTACTCACTCGCCTCATCTCAACATCTGCATTCCTTCTCAAGGCGTTGTTCCCTCGTTCTCCCCGGCCCCTCCCTGCTTACTTTGGACCTGGAGCAACAAACGTCTCCATTTACGACTTCTCTCTCTCTCTCTGTGTGTGTACCTCTTCATCTCAATGTCTCTCTCTATCCATCACCTGTTAGCAATGAAAAACACGACCTTGACGACCCGAGACGGCTGGTGTTTTTTATTTTATTTACCCTTTTTCCCGGGCCTTTTTTTTTATTTTTATTTTTCTCAATGTACCTTTTTGTGTCTTGTTTTCATTCGTAATAGGATGAGCAAAGGGGATAGGGTAAATAAATTCTGTACTACACGAGATGAATTTGAAAGCAATTGAACGCTACAGTGGAGTGCCATTACGTGCTTACGTACTTGTCCTTGGTTTTCAACGAGCCATGCCCCTTGGACGCTTTGACTAGTGATTGTCCAAGTGGACATGTGTTGAATATCAGTATAGTACGAATGAAAAGAGCAAATTAACAAACACTATTAGGTTTCTACGGGTACCCAATGGAAGGCGTAAAAGTAAAATAAAGAGATAATCCAAGTAGGATATCATGACGGGTATCTATTTAATCAGAGTTATTTACGCCTAGTTATGCCTTATTTATTTTTTGCAAACGCTAAACCCCCCTCTTTACATAAAAAAAAATCAGACAGGAAACCCAAAGACCTAGTATAGTACAAAAAGCCTACCCTGCATTACCCATGCCGCTAAAGATTGGACGGTGACAACGCGGGGGAAGGGAAGGGGGAAAAAAGAAAAGAAAAGAAAAAAAGGCAAGCGACTAAAAAAGGCATCCAGACCCCAAAGACAATCACGCCTTTTTCTTGCCTTTCCTCCTCGCCTTGTTCTTCCCACCAGACTCGGCCACCTCAACACTGGCACCTTCGACCTCGCCCTCTTCCAACCCCAACACCGCGTTGCCCTCCATTTCCCTCAGCTTCTCCTGCCCACTAATGAAAAAACTCAAGTCGCGATTCTGCTCCTCGAGATCGGCCTTTTGCGCTTCCAGCTCGCTAACGTGCTGTTCGGCCTCTTGCGCTTTGAGCTCTAGATGCTTGATGCGCTGCATGAGCGATTCGTTGACAATCTGCTCTTCTTTATACTGCTTGGTCAGTTTGCGAGCGAGGTCGGATGCCTGTGCTGCTTTTTGGGCGTTACGGGCGGATTCCTTGGTCAGTGAGGCAATGGTGGCGGTTGCTTCGTGGTGCTCTGTAGAGAGCTGGTCGAGCTTTTGGGATAAAGCGGCCACGCTGCGAGTTGCTTCGTCGGCCGAAGTGGCGGCTTTGGCGGCCTTGTCTACGGCACGCTCTAGTTGCTCTTCAAAGTATGCGCGTTGCGATTCGAGCTGTGAAGTCAGGAGATAGGCGTACTCCATGCCCATGTTGTCCAGCTTCTCGCGCGGGACCGTGTCGTTGGCGTAGCCCGTCATACCGGGCGCGCTGAACGACTGATTTGAAGCTGGCATATCCACAAGTTTGCCATCGGATTTGTTTTGTATGAGACGATGAACATATCCGTCGCCTGCATAGTCCCAGACATGTTGCGTCACTACGTCCATGGCATATGTATGGCTTGTAGCCTCGTAATGTGCGAATGCATGCGCCGAATCATAGCGGCCACATCCTATGTTACCGCAGATGAGACAGATCCAGAGGTTCTGCGTAGATCCGCAAACACTACATTCGTTGTCTGGACTGTCACCATCAGCGCTGTGGTGTGAGGTAAAAGCGTCGTTTTGTGTATATCGACAGACTGGACAGCCTGAGCCTCGCCATTTCTCAAGACAGGCACAATGAAAGACGTGCTGACAGAGTATCGTGAGCAGGCCCGTCGTTTCGTCCATCCTTTCCAAACAGACAGGACATGTCGGCAGCTCTACTAGAGCCGGTGTAGGCGGAGCGTGTGGCTTTGCAGTGAGTGATGATGTTATTGATGGGCCATCGACTGGCGAGGAGACAGTAGTCGCTGGCGGAAGAGGGGCTGTGGGCTGCTTTGTTGCAGCGGGCGCGAAGGGATCGTTCGTCAGGTCCGGGTACGAAGTCGGGTCACAGTTTGAGTCGCCATTTTGGAAGTTGATCGACTTGACAAAGACGACATGACAGTATTCCGGCTGGGTCTGGTTAGCAACTACAATGATATGAATTCGCCCGGTTGTTGTCATGATCTCACCTCCATGCTGTTGAAAGGCTTGCCGTCCCACTCTTTCCTCCACTCTCGCGCCCTCTTAACCTCGCGAAATTTCATGAGCACCATGTACTTGTTGGCTCTGCTTGTCCTAATGAGTCTGAAATGCGAGACATGCTCCCTCGTCTGCTCACCCATGAAGCCCAAAAAGTCCGACGGTGTCATGTATGAAGGGACTGCCAGTATGCACAGCGTTGTGCAGTCTTCCTCATTGAAGGCCTTTTCCCCCCGGTCCACCTCATCGTACAAGCCTGGTGTCTCTTGCCCATCCCGATACAGATGCACGACTCCCCAGCCAACTTCTGTATCCTTCAGATCAGAGGGTATGAATTTACCCTTTGTCGCTAAACCGCCAGTATTGGGCGCATGCGAAGGGTGCTTGAGGGACTTTGCGCGAGACGGGGCGAGCTCAGTGTCATCGGTCTGGTTCATGTCGATGCTGAGAATGGAGATGGTATCGAAGCGCCAGTCCCTGTGTGCAAAGCTCTGCGTCCGTCGGTGCGCAGGCCTCTTTGGGGGTTTGATGATAGGCACGGGGCTGTCGTGGTGGTCTGAGAAAGATGGCCGGGTGCGTTGGCTGAGTCGGCGAGAAGTAGCCCGTTGCTCACGAGAGGTGGAGGGTCCGCTGTGTGTGCGCGACGAAGGCGATGATGGCAAAGGAAAAGAGCCCCAGGAAGCCCTTTGATGCACCGGGAGCTCAGAGTGGAAAATGTCAGTCTGTGGTGGTGGGGTAAACGTCTTGTCCGGCGATGAGCGCGAGGGGTAAAGCTCGAAGGTAAGGTGAAAGAAATAGGTCGGCATCACAGTCCTTTAACTGAAGTCTGCATTTCAGACGAGCTGTCACAGCGAATAGTTGACGCGATTTTGCAGTGGCTTGACACGCGGCTGGATTATTTGCGACTTGAGCTACATGTATGAAAATGAGTATGTACAGATGCATGTATATATAAATGGTTGCAGTTGCGGCGCGTCATCCCGCTCGGACTAAAAGTAGCGTGCCGACCATCGGCATTAAGTACCCCACGCCCTCCGTTTCTTTAGGGTAGATGGATACCCCCCACAAGCAGTACAAGGCACAGGGAATTGATAATTAAACTGATGTATTTGACATGGTTCTGTGCCCGTACAAGCCGCAGGCCCCGTCGGGATCCTCATGTCGATGGTAATCCCTAAGCCCCGCCAAATGCAGACCGTAACTAGCAATGTCGAAAACGCCCTAGCTATGCATATGTAACAAACAAAACGCCTATACTCCTGCATGTGTGCATGTGCAAGCATCCTTCCCCACATCTTGCTGTGCGCCAAAAGAAGCGGCCAAGGCTGTGCTTACACTAGTCCATGCCACATTACCACCTGAAATAATAAAACTCAGATGCCATGTCATCAATTCGTTCGCCAAAGTGCGGTTTTGGGTATCGCTTTTGTACAAGTGGAAACATTCGCGCCAGCCCCAAATGATATGCTGTTTGTGTCTGTGTTTTGTGGCTAAGCCTAGGTCTGCTCTGCATCCATAGGCTCAGCATCAGTGACATCTTCAATCTCATGGCCCTTGGAATTAACAACAATGCGCCGTCCTCGCTGTTCAGCGGGAACACCGTCGCGTGAAGCGCCGAAATCAAGAACCTGTTGCACCGTTAGCCGGAAAAGAAGAAATCAACCCCTTTATCTGCTTACCTCGATATACGTCATGCTGTTGCGCTGAACAGCAGCGACACAGCGCCGCTCGTTGAACTTGACCTGCCACACGCCGCTCAGGTCGGTCAACAAATCCTTAACAAACTCGCCCGTCTTGACATTCCACATCTTCAGAGTACGGTCAGAGCCAGATATGACTTTTTGCCCGTCGTGTTGGAAACAGGTAATGGCACCGGTGTGAGCACAAAGTCGGCTCTTGCACTGCCCGTTTTCCGGATCCCAAATGCGAAGAGTGGAGTCGGCAGCCGCAGACACTAGGCGCCCATGGCTCAGGTCGAGGAGACCAACCAGAGAGGTATGTCCCTCAAGAGTGAATATACAAGCACCCGTCTCCAGAGACCAGACCTTAACCATGTTATCCATGGAACCACTGATGCAACGATTCCGAGCATGATCAAGTACAACGCTGTAGACCTTTTGTGAATGACCCTGAAGACGCTGGAGAACCTCTCCAGTCGAAATTCTCCACACTCGAACCGTACAATCGTAGCTACCGCTCACCAAAGTGTCCCCGTGGGCAGCAATGGCGCGCACCGAATGATGGTGCCCAGTCAAAGCGCGTATGAAGTAAGGGTTATCGTGGTCGTTTGCAGATGCTCCGGTTTGCATGACGCTCCGATCACCCGGCTTGGGAAGCTTCCATACACGAAGCGTTGAATCGCGTGAACCAGTGATGATGAGCTCCTCCTTTGGCATCATGATGGGCTGGCCATCGATGGTCTCGCCAATATGCGTTGGCTTGAGGATTACCAAGCATCGGACAGTCGATGTGTGACCCTGGAACACGTGTGTGCACTCTCCCTTGTCGATGTCCCATACGCGCACTGAGCGATCGGTAGAGCCTGACACCAGTGTATTGCCTTCGTACTGAAGAGCCCATACGCCACCTTCATGTCCCTCGAGACGGTTACGCAGTGCTCCTGTTTTGGTGTCGTAAACATTGATATTTGTATCGTCACTGCCAGTGAGTATTTTGTCCGTGTCAAACTGTAAGCAGGTCACAACGTGACGTTGATGCGCACGGAACGCAATGTGTTTTGGCTTCGTTTCCTCAGCCATCCAGCTCTTGCGTATGAGGTGATGCCTTTGGTACAAGGATTTGAAGAGATGCATAGCGCGTAGACTAGGTAAGCCCACGTTGGGGTCCGAGATGGCAGCTTCTGCACGCTTGGCGAAAGCGTGCGGTCCTTCATGAAGATCGGCGGGACGCAAATACAGTGCGGTCTGTGTTTTAGTAGAGGCTCGATTCTTGCGTTGCTTCTTGCCGCTGCCGCTGCCATGTTTGCTGGTAGCTTTCCTCTTTTGACGCGTTGATGAGGATCGGGTCA